CTTTCTTCTTTATATGATCTCAGCTCAATGCAAAACCATGTTAATGATTTCAAATGATAATAACGTTTCAGAATTGGATTTTAAACCTAGGATTACTGTTCTCGATGTTTAAAACTTTGGTATTATGAGTGAATGGACAATTTGGTTATGCTACTAGCCCAATGTAAACGTAAAAAATGTCAGCCCCACTCCTTCTTTTGCCCCCTCTCTTGGTGATAAGACAGGATGTGCAGGAAAGGAATGGGAAGCTCGCAGTGCCTTTCTTTCCCTCCTCTAACTAGGACACGGTGAAGCAGCTACAGCGAGGACAGAGAGATAGAGAGGGACGCAGGGGGGGATTATATCCAGTTATTATTGATAGCCCTAATAATGTGCCAATCGCTTCATCGCCATTAAAAACTGGGCTGCCCAAATCACAATTTTTACAACCTTACCCGATCAGAGGATACTGACCAGGGACGGCCGTGTGGTCATAGGTCAACATTCATCAAGGATATAAAAAAAAGGTTCCTAATGACGAATCAGTTTGAGGAATGCCATTTTCCTATCAATCACAATACTAATTGTGTACTATCTGGCTTTAGATCTCACCCTTTTATTTCACTTCTTGTGTTGAGAAAACGCAGGATGATCTGCAATTTTTCATCTCCTTTTGTTCTTAAATATCCCTCCTCTGCCCGCCTGCAATCCCTCCCTTTAATCACCCGATCCCCCGGGCTTTCCTCAATCAGAAAACTTCCCTGTCCGAAGAAATGGAAGCACCCACATGAGTGGAAATTGTGTTTTGTATCCCGGGAACCTTTTTGTCTCCACTGCTGTGACCCACAAACACAGCCAAGTCAAGCTCAGCCCCCAGCCAGTATGACAAAGCCAGAGAAACCATCACTTGTGTCAAAACTGGGATGAATAACTGTCTGATCACACTGTTGACAGCAGTATTTACACAAAGAAAAGAATGAAACAGAAAAATAGGTTTGACAAACGGGGAATTTAACAATAACAATAATTAATTTAGTCAAAACCAGAGTATTGTATCTGCTATAGAGATGTTCTTTATACGTAAAGTGTTGATTCTGATTTGAATTCCTAAAAAATTTGTGGTTTCCTCCCTTGTTTTAAAACAGGAAGTAGAACTGTGGTCGTCTTCCGCTCGTCTTGTTTAATGGAACCCGCCTTCCTGTTTTCAGATTCATCCTGATAGTGGCTGAAAGTCCCCAGCTGAAAACACACAAACACACACCCTCCCCCTGTCCTGTCCCTCTCATTCTTTCTACCTCTCTATGCCCCCCGCCCCCTGCCTCTCAGATGGATGTTAGATAAAGTCGTTTAGTGAGACCTTCCCATCACCATCAACAGCCAGACCTTTCCTAATGCTGACATTCCAGCGTCCCATGTGTGTGCCATGTGAGCTGGTACGTGTGTGTGTGCGTGCATGTGCGCGCGCGTGTGTGTGTGTCTTCAGAGCCCAAACTGATTGATTATCCCAGACTGATTGTAAAGATGAAAGTATCTGTGAACTGCTAGGATCGACTAAAATGTGTGTGTGTGTGTGTGTGTTTTAGGGATGGTGCCATGTGCAGCCAGGCCAAGGAAGTATGCAGGTCAGAGCTGAGGGAATTTCAGGAATGTCAGTGTAATTCAAACTCTCTCTTCGGCCACTGAAGGCAAACCACTACCTGGGCATTTCTTATACCAGAAGTGGGCAGAAATGTTAATCTGCATAAGTGTGTGTGTGGCACTTCAAAACGCTACTGTTTAAGGAGCCTCTGTGTATACCAGCGTCTAAATGTCAATGCTCGACACTGCTGCTGGAACAAAATAAATGATATCTATCTATCTACAGTATCTATCTATAGATATCTATAGGTACATGGACAGTTTTGGGGCTCTTGTGCTTCACATTCATTTCATGGTGCTTCATACTTCTACTTCACAACACATTTTCTGGCAAATATTGCACTTTCAATTTATTACAACATAATAAGATTATTTCCTCTGTGCAGAATCAGATTATTAGTTTTACACAGTTGTATTCAACTAATCATGTATAATGTATTATTATAGATTTAGAAACCCAACTGCACTTAAGGTATTTAGAAAAAGCTCCAGCTTTAACAGCTGTAACATTATTGCATTCATATTTAAAATCCAATAATATGACATAATGTACTTCATTTTGAAAAGGGCAATTCTGATTAATTATTACTTTTGGTATTTTAAAGAGGCCTTATTATCCTCATTTTCAGGTTTCATATTTTCTATTTTGTGCCTATACTGTGACATGTCTCCATGCTTTAATGTTCAAAAAGCTCTTTATTTTTATCATACTGCCTGTGCTGCAGCACCTCTTTTCACCCTCTGTCTGAAACCAGAGCCCAGTCTGCTCTGATTGGTTAGCTGGCCGGCTCTGTTGTGATTGGTCAACCGCTTAGAGATGTTCCGCCCCTAGGCCAATCACATACAATTTGTTTGAGCGCAAGCCAATAAAAGTGTGAGTGTTACGTAGTGATGTCACTATGTTACGAAAGTAAACAAAGGAGTCCAATGGAGGCATTTCAGACAGTGTTACAAAATCCCTCTGGAGGGAACTTTGGGATTTTAGCCTTTGCAGACCTTTTACATGCACAAAAACCTAAATAACACACAAGAGGAAAGGGAAAACCCCCAAAAGCATAAAAGGCCCCCTTTAGTTATATTATAAATGTTTTTATATAAAGTTTAGAATGACATTTCTACCTTCACTTGAGTAAAATATATGATTACTTCTTCAATAATTTGTGTCTACATAATCACAGCGTAATCAACACCTCCCTATCTACGTACATCCCTATTACACAGCTACACAGTGTGTTGGCCTCTATTTCACAAACACCTGCACTGGAAACAGAATCTGACTGAACTCCCAGCTGTTCCCACACGAGCTACACCTCCTGAATCCAGTTCCCAGGCTTTTAGTAAGCCTTTCGTTTGATATCACAACATATCTAACCCCCCCGCACTCCCTCCCTGTCTGGCCCGGCTTTTTCACGGCTGCCTGTTTTCACTCAGCTGCTTTGACAAAGACTGGTGAAAAAATTACAGCTGGGCCTAAACTCAGAAAGTGTTTGTCTTCTGTAATCTCTAGTGAGCCCAGCAGTGGGGACCGTGTCATAGGAAGAGGAGGAAGGGGGCGATTGTTCTAAAAACGAGAAGCTGATGACATCATTTCAAAGAGCTCGCTTAGAAATGTTCAACACTCGGGTGAATAGGCAACAAAGTAAACTCACAGTAATATACGCAGTTCACAAAACGTCAACAAAACGTATAATTTCAGACATGTGCACAGCTGTTAGAGTCAACAAATCTCAATCTTTCTCCCTCCATTCATCAGTCTTTTTCTCCTTTTCATGCTTTTTGGCATAAAGACTGCTGTTTGGATTTATTTCCTAAAGATGAGAGTAAGTTAGTTTTATGTCTCTATATAAGTGAGGCCTGAGCTGAAACATTTGGCCTGTTCGAGCCAGGATGTCTTTTGTGACGGGAGGGGACAACAGGAAGACGGCTTGGGGTTCTGAGGAAGTGAGTGAGTAAGGGGAGGGAGGGAGGGAGGGAAGAAGTGAGGAAACAAACAGAAAGTCAACGCAAAACTATGAGGAAAAATAAAATAAAAACAGAAATAGACAAATATAGCTTACTATATCTATAAATACAAGTGCCCATTTGGTCTACATATAAAGCCATATGCTAAAGATGCTAAATCCGAGGAGAGGTCATTTTGAAGATGAGGTTGCTGTAATTCAAAGTGACAGTTGCGGATGACCTCTGTGTAAATGTGTAAATCACCATGTTGCTACTACTACTAATACACCCTGAAGTGGTCAAAACCTCTCCAGGGAGAGGGCCACGGAGAGGAGAGAGGCTCCACGGGCAAGCAAAGGGAAGCATGGACACATAGAGATATTTACATACAGTCAGACAGACTTCCTGGCATTGTCAGCCTGAGAGCGTTGATGTCAGATCCACTCCTTCCTGTGCAGAAGGGAGAACGCTATGCGATGACAATGGGCCAAAAACAGGACAAAGAGGAAATGTTTAAATTTAGGCCCCTTCTTCCACCATCTCCTCTTCCATGGCTATGGAGCTCTGGAGCTGTTTAGTTTTTATGAATTCCTTCAGTTTCCCTCCCTGAGCTCCCTCTCCCCATTGTGCCTTTTCAATAGAAGGATTTTCACATTCAACGCAAATCCCAAAGGAGGATCAGCTACTGAGACCAGAGTTCAGACAATCAATTGTTTTCACTGATGGTACTTAAACAAATCATAAGTGCTGTGTTCAATTCCACGGAACAAATATGATAAGGAAATAACTTCAACATCATTAACATATATTAATGACTTTAGATAATAAAGATAATTCATGTTCTGTAGGATACAATTGGAGAAAAACACAGTAAACATCCCAAATTAGTAGAATAATAAAATATACATATTTAAAATATATCTTAATATGTTTATAAAACACTTAACTTTGCTATAATTTTGCTATCTGAAGGATTAAGATAATTATAAACAAAAGCTATAAGCATTCCAATAATACAAACACATATATAATTTGTTTTAAATCTTAACTTAAATTGTTGTGTATTACAACAGACTCACATTAAAACTAATTAATATTTATTAGGTTTTTCAGTGTTTAGCTATGTGTAGACGTGAAACTTTGAATAGGACATTTAACGTTTTGAATTATAAAAATAGGAGTAGGCTAGGCACAGTAAACATCCCATTATAATTTTCTATATATTGAACTTTATTGTTTATTGTTAGCTCTGATGAAATATAAAAAGGTGTGTCTGTGTGTAGATAATTGGTGTGTGTGTGTGTGTGTGTGTGTGTGTGTGTGTGTGTGTGTGTGTGTGTGTGTGTGTGTGTGTGTGTGTGTGTGTGTGTGTGTGTGTGTGTGTGTGTGTGTGTGTGTGTGTGTGTGTGTGTGTGTAGAGGGTGTGTTGGTGTCGGTGTGTGTGTTGCTCTGTCTGCGTGAGAGCTTTATCACAAATCAGAGTGTCGGCGTCTGCAGAAGTTTACAGGGCAAGAGTTCACCGCTTTGTCGCTAAATCCGGGAGTTCCTCTCAGTTTCATGATAGCTGGCGAAGTTTACAGGCAAAAACTGGAACTCATGACAACTTCGAAGGAGCCGCTGTCCGCAAAAATAACTCCAGCCTTACTCATGGATATAAATTAAACCCGTGAAATACAGCGGATACTTTGAGCCGGTGTGGAAGGCGGTGTTTTCATTGGCTTTACGGACAGCAACGAAGATTCCCTTTTAAACGAGGAGAGTTTTCGGGGGGTAAGTTAACAGCTTTGACGGTGGAGAAAGAGATACGCAGAGATGATATACGGATATATTCGCGGGTTTAACTTGATAAACAAGTCTTTGAAGTTTTGAAAAGTGTAACTACGAAGTTTACTCCAGAAAACAAATGCTAAACAAAGTGAAAACTTCACAAATTAATGTCATTAAACTTAATTTAGAAACCAGCTGCGACGTTAATGCCAATTGTATTGACGCCTTTATTAAAAGAAATACGACTGTCAGACGCCCAACCCAGTGTAAAGTCAACCTGTCACTTTTAGCTATGAGTTGTCAATTTTAGGTGGAAACCCTCTGGTGGAAACAGAGGTGGTAGTTACCGTACGTTTTGTGACTGTGGAAGTCAAAAACTACAAAAAAAGTGTATTTTTGGAGCTTATGTTATTCCTAGTAGGCTTTTTAAGAACACATTATCAGAATAAATGGATATTAGGCCAATAGTACACAAGACTTGTAGAAGACTCACATCTTATATTTTAATGCTAACATATCTGCTTGCTCATTGAATTTGGACTTTATTTGTTGTTGACACATTTACATTTTTTTGGAATGATTGAGCTGCTTCAGAAAGTATTCATTAAAAGCTTATCAGTAAAAATGTGTCTTAATGAAATTGTGCCATTCTGCGAAAAGGCCATTTTAAATGACACACATCTTTTGTGATGATTTCATGTAACAACAAAGACACATGCTGGAGGCCCCAATTACACAAGATGCTTCCATACATTAAAGGGATTATGAAATGGGGGTAATTAACATGTTGAGCACTTGCTGAGCATCTTCCACCTCAGAAGGAGCTTATCTGAGCTCTGATGATGTCACAGCCGGAGCAGGCCTGAAATAACCACACATCTCTGTAGTGAGGGTTTCCATGACAACACAGCCTCCTGGTTTAAATGGTGGACGGGGGACTGCGTCTCAAATAATTACTGTGGACCGAAAATGGGGGGTGGTTTGTGACTGTTGACTCATGGTACAAAAGCCCTTGTCTGAGAATCACAGAATGAGACGACCTCTGATGCTCTCACTGTGTTTTCGTGTTTAAGTAGCACTACCTATCTATTATTGTTGACCTCCTGCGTGGATCAAATATGGATGACCCTCCAATGAGATGATTTCATATAATAGTCTGTAGCCTACATTTATAGCATACTTTGACATACGGCATTAGCATGATATGAAGAAATTAGGTCAAACTCTTGAATAAAAAATGTGGTTTTGTCCCTCCAGGTATTTTAGGGAGTGGGGCCCGAGACATGATGTCCATCGGAGCTAAAAGCTGACGCTGTAGAATGAGAGAGGATGGAAGAGACAGACAACCCTGCCCCCGTGAGCAACCCTAATGGGTTTGTCAACCGAGTGTTTAATGTTTCTCTGGATGTGGAGAATGAGAGCAGCAGTGTTTATATTGAGGAGGCTGGGCCAGGGCCTGCAGAGGGGCAGAGAGACCCCCAGGCTGCTTCTTCTCAGACCCCTGTCAAGGACAGCCAGGAGGTCAACCGGAGGCCCCGTGCTACAGGGGGCATCTGGAAGATGTTGAACCGAAAGAGAGCGGGTTCAGAGCTGGAGCGCAGACCCCACTCCATGATCCTGCCCGGGGAGGCTTCCATCCCTAAACTCTCCTTTGCTGACAAAGTTCGCTCCTTCAAGAAGCTTAAATCCCCTATTGTGTTCCGAGGGAAGACGGGAAAATTGTCCACTGCCAGGTTCGGCAGCTCCTTTGTGGATGAGGACTCTTTCTGCCACGACATTGGCACACCACAGCAGTCAAGCAGGGGCACTCTTAGAAACCGTGGCAAGAGGCACTCCTATGCAGGCTACACAGCAGAATTTGAATGCTCGTTTGAAGACATCGACCTCACAGCTACTTTAGATAGACACCAGCGCATTGTGACAGGGGAGACTGTGACTCAGAATGGTTGTAAACCACCAGAAAGAGTCTGCTATACTAAAAGAAACCACAACAACTCTACCAACTGTAACAAAACTGCTGCAGGCTGCGAGGAGCCGAGCATTAAAGGTAGCCCGAGCACCCACCAGGGTCAGGGAAGGAAGAACAAAGATGTGTGGAGTTACCTGAGGAGGATCTCCCTGTTGGGGAAGGCCAATCCCGTCTTTTCAGAGAGGAGCTTTGACTCAGAGCTTCCCTCTTGGGACAAGACCATGGACTCAGAATACGGTTCTGTGGACTTTGAGAACGTCAAAGACTTTCAACCGCCGCCCCCGAAACACTCCACTGACACCAAGGGGCACTTTGGTGGTCTGTTCAAGTTTTTTAACAGTGTAGCAGAGACAGCCAGGAAGTGGCGGACCACATCACACTCCTTTGCTCCTCCAGAGGGAGAGAGGACGCCGATGAGCTCACCACAGCCCACAGTGGACAACATTCACAGTGTTTCCCTGACACTCCACAGTGATGGGCTTCCAAAATCCCAACCAGCAACACCAGCGACCGCTAAATCCTCGCACACAAGTAGCCTTGAGAGGGAGGATCCAGCACCTGAGACAGGTGGACGGTCCACTCAAGTTGTCCTGAGAGCCTTTAGGGCATACTCAGGATCTCGAGCTGTTAATGGCCTTCAGAGGTCAGAGGGTGCAGAGACACATTTAGAGACAAACCACAGGTCCACAGCCATAGTAGAGAATAATTCCCCAAAACCAGGTCCAACTACACATACCAAAGAAGAAGAAGAGGTCGAAAAGGATCCATTAAACTGTCTCTGTCCAGAGGAAAAGGTAGAGGGACAGACAGGAAATGACCCAGATTCCAGGGATGCTCCACCTGACTCCCACCCGTTACAGGAAGTGAGTGTCCAATCACAACAAGGTGATAAAGAAAGCACCACCAATAGCGTGCCAGCATCAGATTCCACAGAGGAGATATTTAAGGTATGTGTCTTTAAATCAAAATGTTAATCACCAGAATTTTTTATAAATTAAAAGTCATTTGAGTTGCTAATCAGCATTATCATGTATAATGCGTTTCACAATCATGCCATAACCACATTCCATTTCAGGCTTTTTTCCACATCATTAACATCGCCACAAGCATGCACCATATAATTAGTGCATAAATGCTGTAAATATCATGTATGTAACAGTTTTAACCACGTTCATTCTTTTGCTTCTTAAAAATCATCAACAAACCAGAATGTAAATAATACCAGACTTGTTACTCAGACCTAGGTGTGGTTTACTAACTGTCAGAAACACCAGCAGCCTGTGAGGCAAGGAGTTGGGCACCGACTCTACAGTTGTCCTTTTGCCCCATCTGTTGGAGAAAGCAGGAAACAGTCAGTGAATACAATAATGGACAACATCTCAGTAGAAGAGTTTGTCCTTTTTCCCATGCCAGGAAGACCCTAATTCCCATAAAGCTGTCCGTGTGTGTGTGCAGCGGTCTCAGAGCCAGAGTGACGTCTGCACTTCATGGCGGCACCCTTCCCTTCTCACTCCAGTGGAGGCATTAGTCATCCCCTTCCAGTCACACCAACGAGTCAGGACATGTTAACCCTAACTCCTTGACAAAACGAGATGTGACATCTCTATGCTCCGCACACTTTCATAGGGGTTTATTATGCAAGGGGGCTGTGGGAATAAGTGTTTGGGGAAGGGTGTTAATGTGCAGCCCTACAATAATATCAGATTCATAATGGCACCGGGAAAATCCTCCCTATTCAGCAACTGTTTACACGTAATATCCACCTGTCTTCTCTGAAGTTTAATTGCCATTCGGGGACCTTCTTGGCACCTGTGTATAGCCACTCAAGCATAGCAATTAGGATCATCACGGCGAGTAGAAATGATATTTTGATGAACCTATAGAGACGTTCCTCCCAATTCCCCACACAAAAAATGCTTTGTTGCACCTTTATCGGAGCCAAATTGCTGAGTGTGTGTGCCGATCACAGCTGTGTGAGCAGATTGCCAGCCAGACAGGCTGTGGTGTGATGCAGACCCCCGCCCGCCCCAGCACAGAGAAGACCTCTGTTCCCCACAAGCCCCCGCGCCCTCGCCCTCGTCCTGTCTCTGCTGTACTGGACCTGCGGGGGCTCAACAACCTGGACCGAGACCTCTACAGCCACTACAGTGAGGTCGGCTCGCTCTGCCGGCGGAGACGCAGGCCTGCTCCCAGCATGCACCTCTCTCCGGGGCCGAGGCGGACGGCTGCTCGCTCCAGGCCTTGCTCAGTCATAGAGACCGGTGTTACTAGGGAGATGCAGTCCACGGAGCTGCACCACAGAGTAAGAAGACAAGTAAACAAACACAGGCATTCATGCATAATATCACTCAGAGTAAATATACAAACATGGACATACAATAAAAAATAAGCAATCCTATACTCCTATTTAAACTGTGTAAGTATAATGCGATACCATAACACTTTATTGTCATAGCAGTTCTGACCTTTTTCTTGCATCATTGCTGCTCCATTTGAGACATAAACAAATATTTAACATAACAACATAACATAACCCTTTAACATACATTTGATCCTGGGTTAAAACTATATGTATTGTTAAGATCAACTGGTGCTTCAGTCTACTTAAATTGTGGGACCCTTTATCTCCAATTTGATTGTAATAATACATGTTCGCTGTTCAGGACATGATTTGGGTGGGAAACAATGTTGTTGGCAAGCCTGAATATGTTATCTAGTTTTCATTTGATAAAGACATGTTGACCTTCAAGCATTGGACAAACTACTACCATGTAGTATTGCAGTACTGTAAACAACTCAAATGTATTTAAATGCAGTAGATAGACACAGTGTTGGAAGGAGTACTCAGATCATTTACAAAGTACAAATTCTATGCTCTTACAATATTGCACTACAAGTAAAAGTCATGATTTAAAAATGCAATTTAAGTAAAAGTAAAAAGGTAATAGCATCAGTAGTACTCATTCTGCACAATGACTTGTTTCAGAAGTACAGTATTATCAGCTAAATGTATTTCAAGTTTGAACAGTCAAAGTACTTATTATTCTGAGTGGATCTTTTCCTAGTATTTTATTATTATGGCTATAATATGATCCTGTGTTTATGCATGTAAGAGCATTTTAGCATTGTTGTTGGTCAATTTATATACAATTAAGGTACAGTGTAGATTAGTAGTACCATATCAGCTTATATGTGTTGTTGTGACTAGTAACTGTAAGTGTTAAATAAATGTTGTGGAGTGAAAAGTACAATATTCAACTCTTGAATGTAGTGGAGTAAAGTAGCAAATATGTACAAATATGTCAAAAGTACTTGAGTACAATACTTGAGTAAATGTACTTAGTATCTTTCAACCACAGGAAAGACATAAATATGATGTTAACCCTGATGAAAAAATGAAGTTGGAGGGTAACTCTCCACCAATTTGCTGATAAATATAGCCCATAATGAATCAAACTCACTCTGGAGGGCAGCCCAGGACTCACCCAGTATTTATACCCACTCACTGTTAGTTGCAACAATGCATGCACGCTCTGCCCCACTTATAGAGGCCTGTATTTCTGCTTTTCCCTCAGCTCACCTCCCTCTCTTTTTCCTTCCCCTTCTTTCTCCCTTCTTTCTTTGTGGCTTCTCAGTCTCTCTGTCGCCAATTTTCTGCCTCATCGCTCCCATAAGCTCTACCTCTCATTGCCCTAACTCAGAGTCAGTTCATTTGAACCTGAGAGACCGCCCGCTTGGCATGATGTATAGTCTCTCTCTCGGTATTGCTGCAGGGCATACACTTCGAACAACGCACCAGAATAGAACCTTGCTGGATGTGAAATGCTTTAATAACCTGCAACAAAAAATGGGACAAGGGAAGATTTGTTTCCAAGGTGAAGGGCAGGGGAACGTGTGCATTCACCCTTGCACGTGTGATTGTGTGCATGGAAGTGACTCTGTATAGAATATATAGGAGATGCCCTAACTACTCAGTCCCCTCTAGGCCTTGTCTCGCCCCCCGGGTGTGTCCCCGTTAGAGCCCCCACTGAGGGCGTCTCTCCAGCGGTGCCGCTCCCTGCCGCTCCCCCCCAGCACTCTCTCTGCCTTGGCTCTGCTCCTGCCCAAGTCAGGTAACATTTGCATATTTGTATTTCACATTAATATGGAGACTGTCGATTGGTGTGTTTGTTGAATTGATCCTCTGTCTGTCCTCCAGACATGGGTCAACCTTCGTCGTCGTCGGTGCGCCTGCGGTCCGGAGGCTCCGGCAGCTGCAGGAGGGGGAGGCTGCTGAGGCCCGGATCAGAACCACTGCAGGTCAACATAGTGAGTCAAACACACATCATAAATACACATTGATCTAGCCACCACTTTTACATTCTTTCTGTACCGCTTCCAAGGCCATTACAGTGATTTAAAAAAACTAAAACATGATGTGTTACTACAGTATATGCTAAGAAAAAAAGGCAAATATTTGAACTGATATTGCAATTGTGATGTGCTTTGTGATATTATAGGGACTGATCTTTCAAAAAAACATGATTTACTTAATCATTGAAATATATATTAAAGGGGCCTTTGCTTTTATGGTTTTCCCTTCCCTGTAGTCCCTTGTTTACTTCTGTAACAAAATGAAATTACTTTGTAACAATCAAGTTTCTATTGGCTAGTGGTCCTACACATTGTATGACATAGGCTAAGGGGTGGGACATCTATAAGCGGTTGACCAATCACAACAGAGCCGGCCAGCTAACCAATTGGTCCGTGCGCAAAGCATTGTGGGGATTTTAAGACCGCGAAGTCTACACATGTGCAGCCTCGAAATTTCTCCAAACGAAGTACGCCGGGCTCGGTAGAATTCCAAGAATGCCGGACATTGGAACAGTACTTCGGCGGCACTCGATGACGTAGTATGCTTGAAATAGTGGCTCTGGAGCAGCTACTCGAGATTGAGAAACACCCAGAGGGTGAAAAGAGGTGCTGCAGCACAGGCAGTATGAGAAGAATAAAGAGCCTTTTGAACATTAAAGCATGGAGACATGTGAGGCAGAAAATACAAATAGTAACTTATTACTAAGTGTGTAGATTATCATTAGGCTGGTACGACTCGGCAGCACCACAATGTTTAGTATGGAATGATATTTGCACACATTTTGCCTTTACCAAATGTAGCGCTTACTGTGTGCATCCTTTCTATGTATTGTGATGATATTTGACTTAACAAAAATGTAAATATTATTTTTGATTAAGAATTTGGCTTTCCAAATTAGATACACATGATTGTCGGCCAAATTCACGTTTTAAATGTGTGCTTCACTGATAGAAAACTCAGTTGCCTGACAAATTGAGTGCTGCCTAAACTAACATCCAGCTGCTTGGGGGTAATCTAGAGGTTTTGTCGTTCCCCTGTGCGAGCACCCTGCAGCACTAACCTGCGAAAACCTTTTTTTGCTGCTGCCTTCCACAGTAGAAAAATAGTATTTTGGGTAAAAGTTTTGGTACGCCCTGGTAGAACACCTGGTTGAGCGAGCTTTCAATTTGCTAAGGCTGAGTTTTTGGCATCGGGCCTTTGCTGCATGCCGTCCCCTCTTTTTCCCCATTTTCCTGTCTTCATTCAGCTGTACTATATTGAGAAAAACAGCCCACATCTTTTTTTCAAACATAAAGAATATGGCCAATTTGAAAAGAATGGTTTGCTTTTTAGTACAGTGGCTATCTGCAGTTCGTGACTGCAGGTCGCCAGACAAAACATTTACATTTATTTTAAATAAATAGATATTTTAGACTGAGGAATCACTTTTACACTACATTCCCGGTATATATGCCTTTTAAATAAATGTATTGAGTTAATTTGAGTGTAAAATTGGGGTCAGGGGGAGAGAAAATAAAAAAGAAGGCATTACAAATTCTAACAATTCACAGTCAGGGCATTTAAATTAATCACCAAATCAATCAGCTGTTTACATGTCTATTGCCCTCTCTCATTGACTGTCCTTTCAACTCTGTGCTGACTGGAAATCAGTTAGTAAGGCCAGAAGATCTATTTACACCCCTGAAAAACAAGCAGGCTAAGTAATAAACTGAGACGTGACATGTTCTGACTATCTCCATCAATCCCTCCGCCCCGTCGTTTCAGTACTATGGACATTCTTACACAAGCACCCCCTAATTAAGCCAAACTCCACTTCAACGCCCACTTGCTCAGCTGTAGAATATCTTACACTTCTTATCACATGCCAAAATGTTTAGACACCAAAAAGCATTTCACCCACTTGTCAGAATACAGTTCATCTTCCTATGTGGTGCTAATGAGATGCACTGTGAATAAGGACTCTGATGTAAAGATGTGTACATCAGTAGGAACGCTGCACGGCAGGGAAGTGACAGCAGAGCTCTGTTCCTTCAATTGGTGGGGGGGAGTGTAGGGGAGTGTAGGGGAGAGTAGGGGAGAGAAACTCCCTCTGCAGGGAACTTTGGGATTTTAGCCTTTGCAGACCATTTACTGTACATAGTGTAAAAGTATTCATTATGCAGAATAGACATTTTCGGAATGAAATATGTATTATATTACGGGATTATAGATATGTTCATCATTTCAATGTTGCAGCTGGTAAGGTTGGAGTTAACTTGAATTACTTTTTAAACTGCTGACTGTGTTAACCCATAGATGTATAAGTAGGTATTTTTTGACCCGTTGAGTTGGTTTTCTTGAAGTATCTTTGTAATTACATTTTCATATTCCAGCTACTGTATATCTCAAAAAACATGTTTCGGATATCATGCCATTCAAATTTTTAATTTACATTTTAAGAAATTGTAGTTGTTGTATTACTACCCCAAGCTTCCATAAGTGGGTCAAAAAGGACCCGCATGCATTTTCTATGGAATTTCGTTTTTTTCAAAATGTAAAAAAATTTCTAAAATTATAAATAGTGAAAGATTAAATATAAAATATTTTAAGTGATTTTTTCTTAACCAAAATGACAGAAATTGCATAAAAACACATATTATTCTAAACGGGTCCTTTTTGACCCACTTATGGAAGAGTGTAGGGCCCAGTCACTCGTGCATCTAAGGGTTAATCCATAAAAGTAAAAAATAATTATTTTTAAATTATTCATTCCATTTTAAATTATTTATTTTAAATGTAAAGTTGTAAAAAGTATGATATTTGCTTCCAACGTTGAATGGAAAAGTATTAAATAGCATACAAATGGAAGAATTGAAAGTAAAGTGCAAGTACCTGGATATTTGACTTGAGTAAACATACTTTCCAACCCTCCCTGCAGCCTACTGTATATACATGTTACAAAGTGACAGTCAGTTCCCCTGTTGCAGACACTGTATGAACATCTGTAGATGAGATAAGCGGACGTATAATAAATACTGATAAATCCCCTCTCACTGATAATATGGAGATGACAGAGCACTGGTCAATGTTTCATCAGATAATGAAGGAGCTGATCCGTGAAGATGGTGGCCGTGAGGATTAATGTCATCCCGAACATTTAGGCCATTACTCATCCTGAATCAGGCGCCCAACATTTCAGATGTTTTTCTTTAAATCTGACAAGAGCACTTGCAGACGAATGCAAAGAAAAGGAAATTACATTTAATCGTTTTCCATATACCCAATGTGCTAGAATCTTCCAGAAGTGAAACGTGTCTTTGTCAGTTGTGTGAAATTGGCTTCAGAGTACGTCGGAGTAATACAACTCAGGATGTGAAACTAGGCATTTCAGTGCTTTGATGTGTGAGTGGCCTCAGGGGGATTTCACTGGAAGGAGACGCAGAGTTTCTCTAAAACATCCTGACGGGGTAGTGAACATTTGTGGGGCTTTGTCAAACATCACAAAACTGCAATACATAGAGCTTAACACTGTCGATATTATTGTTAAGGTATACTTAGTGACATTTGTATTGATTCCAATATGCAAAGTGTTATCCACATACACATTTCTTAGTAGGGCTGCACAATTATTGAAATGTTATTAAATATCATCAAGAATGAAGTATTATGGTGCTGCAGAGAGGTCCAAACCTAAAGACTTAAAATCATTTTTTTCGTACAGATACTTCTCCTGTATTGTGCTATATACATTTAGTGCATGTAAATGGTCTGCAAAGGCTAAAATCCCAAAGTTCCCTCCAGAGGGAGTTTCAGTCCCTTGTTTCCTTCCTCTATTGTAGTCTCTTGTTTCCTTCCTCTATTGTACTCCCTTGTTTACTTACTCTATTGTAGTCCCTTGTTTACATCCTCTATTGTAGTCCATTGTTTACTTCCATAACATAGTGACATCACATTGTAACACTCACGCTTCTGGTGCCTAGAGTTCCAACATATTTTACGTAATAGGCTTAGGGGTGGGACATCTCTAAGCGGTTGACCAATCACAAAAAGGCCGGCCATCTTACCAATCAGAGCAGACAGAGGGTGAAATGTCACAGTAGAGGCACAAAATGCAAATATGAACCTGAAAATGAGCATTATATATTAGGGCTGCTCAATTAATCGTATTGTAATCGCAATTACGATTATGGCTTGCAACGATTACGAAAACAACGTAATCGAAATATAACGATTATTTTTGTATTATTATTATTAAAAAAATATTTTATTGGTTTTTCAGTTGAGTTATACTTAAAGTTCAGGGTAATCAACTGTTAAAAACATACTGCTCAACAAAAAATTCTCCAATAAATTGATGTTTTCAAAGTAAATGGATAATCGTTTTTAATAATCGTGATATCAATTATTGACCCAAATAATTGAGATTATGATTTTTGGCATAATCGAGCAGCCCTATTATATATCCCCTTTAATAAAAAATGTTTATGATAATGGGAATAATGATTTCATCATTCCCTCTAAAAATGCAAATCAAATCCCAATTGCAATATCATTTAAAATAATTACAAGCTATTTCTTCCAAATTTAGCATTAAGTGTTTTCCTATTCAAATAAATAAAGATTATAAAATCAATTTAGGAAAGAGCTTAAGCTTTGTCGGTTTAGCTCACTTTAAAATTCAAGGAGTCATTGAGGATTAACCACAACATTTGTAGTACAGTAAGTAATACATGTTCCTGATTCTGTCAACTGCTAAATACTGAGCCCCCGGGCTTTCTGTCCTGGTATTGACATTTAGTCAACTGCGTCTTTGAGGAGGTGATACAGTTAGGCTTTGATTACAACTTTTTATTTTATTGCTGGTCTAAATAGTGTTTGTGCGCCACTGCACGTTGTTGCCATGACACTCGCTGGCTCCTGTTCATCTTCCTGCTTCTATCTTTAGGCAGCCTTTTTAAGTGTGAGCTAAATAGAG